CGAAACAATTAATCAAAAAGCAGAAAGCATCGCAATACACTTTTTGTATAATTAATCGATCGATCAAATGGACGAATTGCATTTGTAAGTATTCCATTATGCTTCTCTCGTTCCCACGAATTCCATTAACCTCTCCGAGAGAAAGAGAGAGACAGAGAAAGAGAGAGAGAGAAAGTCTCCGCCCTCCCTTTTCCCGTAATCCTTGGAGCGTTACAGAGCCGAATTTTGATCCACAGGATGACGATATCTGCGCGTCCTTCCGGAGCCGACAACGCTCATCGTCGTTCCAACGACCCTCCGACGTCTTTTCCGGCGTCGCGGCGCCAGCCATTAAACCCCCATAGGGGGAGAGAGAGAGAGAGAGAGAAAAAAGAGGGAGAGAGCTCACTCCGCAACCCCCTTTGCCTTTTGGGAGTCAGGGATTGAACAATCCTGGCTTTAATCCCCGTGCTCTCTCTTTCTCTTCCCGCACAGTCGGAGACTCCATAGAACCACCCCTTTCGGGGGGCTCCCTTTCTACCGTGAAAGCATAATTTCCAGTTCAGACTCATCTCTCTTCCCGATTCGAGACGCTTTGCGAAATCGTGCCGTCAATTCGCACGGTTTACTACGCGCCCACGGTGTTATTACGGGGAACAGTCATTTTTTTTTTCGCAAAAGAGGGACGCAAAAAGCGAGCGAGACTCTCTCGTGTCTCTTTGAAGAATTACGCGCGTATACACTCCCGGAATGCGCGCGAATAACGGCTTTCGTTTTGTGCACACCTTGATCTTTTCTGCGCTCTCTGCCAAGTGGCACGCCTATATTTACGCGCTTGTGCTAAGCGGCGAGAAATCGGCGCTGTCCCAGGACAGTTTTTTTTTTTTTTTTTTTTTTTTTTTTCATCATTGTTATTTTCCATCGTGCGCGGATGATTTTTATTTTCGATGATTCGTGATTCGCGTCGCTCGCTTAACAATTCGCGCACGCGAATTTAATAAATTTCCGCGCTTAATTGCGCCGAAACGCGCAAATTTCTCGCGTCGCGAATTTTGCAAACGCGCGTCGGAATGAGGTCTCCGTAGCAGAAATTAGGTAATATATCTCACACAACGATTTCCAATCTGTTACACGAGGTCTCTCGAAGTTTCCAGCGCGACTTTGCGTTAACGGGTCAACGGACACGCGTAAGTTCGAATTTGTGATCGGGTGTGCGTATTTGCCTATCTGAGTTCGCGAGAAGAGAGTCGACTCGGCGCGGGATTGCGCGTGCACATATGTATGTACGAGCGCGCAACTATATATCGCCGATCGATATTGCGATACGCGAGTGCCTATTAAATTACTTCTCCGATTATCCGCGATTATTTTCGACGTTCCGCGCGCACGTTGAATATTTCGAGCGGAAAAATGAACGGAGCGCGCGCGTATGTGTACACGTTCCGTCGTATATAACTCGCGGAAATGCGGAGACGCGATACGTACAATTTAAGCTTTTCAAATGTGACGGGGATCAATACGTTGCAATTATATTATAGAACAAATGACAAAACGAACGATCACGTTTTATGTAGAGCACAATAAGAACCATCGGAAATTTTCTCGACGGTTGGTTCTCTGTCGAATTGAATGCGCATAAAATTCTTAACAGATTTCTCTTTCGAATTCGCGAATAAAAAAAAAAAAAAAAAACAAACAAACACCTACCGGAATTGGGCGAGAGAATTTACTTTAAAAATCGAGAGCTGTTGTTTTTATCGCAGACTGACCGAAAGAGATTTTTCCACGTTGAAACTGATTGATCGTCGCCATATAGTTTCATCTAAAATTTTCTTTATTTAGATTTTTATTTGTTTTTTTTAACTCGCATTTATATTGATCGGCGTTAAAAAAAAAAAAAAAAAGCGACAGATTCACGGTGGACCGACGCGTCGGACGAAAATTGACCGAAATTGCTATAACGTCCGTCCATCCGCGCATTTCCGCTCGCACAAGAAACAAACAAAACAACTAGGAAATACAATTACGTTTGCGCAAGAAAAACTGCGCGATCTCTCACTTAGGAAGTCGATTCTGATTTGCACCGCGACCGGGCGCACGTCGCGCCTGGTTATCGATAACGTCGCGAAGTCGGTCTATTTATTCGCTCGCGTGTTCGCTCGCCGCGCGACGATGAATCCGCGCAAATCGTCGGCATCCCGGATGCGTCGTCACGCATTCCCGTCGGTTCGCGGTCACGATTGTCGATTGTCCATGGTCAGTCAATACGACGTACATCGGAAAACACACGCGCGTCGAGTTACGTACATCGCGAAGCTGGAAGAGACAGAGTTTAAAAAAAAAAAAGTTTGTATTCGCGAAAACTTCCGCGCTCGTGCGTGCGCACCTGCGCGATCTCCACGCGCGGTCTCCGTAATAGTAAAAACGTTGCGCAAATGGCACACATATATTGAACATTCGCTTCAGAAGTACATTCTCTCGAGTTACGCGCTCGTGCGCCGTGTTGTTCGCGCGGCTGGAAGAAAAGTCGAGTGTATTATTCACCGATGTAATTCAGCTAACGAAAAATGCACGGGAGAGAGAAGAGCGAAAGAAAGAGAGAGAGAAAGAGAAAGAGAGGGAGAAGCGATTGTTGATACAAGATGAACCCATTGCTGATCCAACAAAAGTGCCGGAATGGAATTGCAATAGAAATAACTTCTGCGCCGCGGGGAAATAAACTTCTCCTGCGGTGACATTATAGAAAGTAGTACGGAAAATAGTCCATCACAGCTGTAGTTTCTCGAAGCTCTCCGAGTTTCCGTTTTGCTCGCGTTGATTATTTTCGCAAGCTTCCTCTTCGGTAAATTTTCTCTATCGTTCCGCGCGCGGCGCGAAAATTTATTTCCGCCGAAGTTGCCGCGCGCGCATCTCTCCCGGTACTTTATGCATAATAAGACTTTCTCCCTCTCTCTCTCTCTCTTTCTCTCTCACTTTGTGAGTCTTGTTGCTCACGAACAGCCGCGATAAGTTGGAAAATGGAGCGGGTTTTTGTAAACGTCATGCTGCATTTTTCACGTCGCTGCGAATAAAATAAATCGTTTGTTATGATTTAACGGATGTTGTGGGATAACACGAGTTTTACAAATGGGGACATCTTAATTCCCCCGCGCGATGGTATTCTCGCCTTCGCGCCAACTGATTTACCGAGTTTCTTCGTCCGGCGTATATATATGTATCGAACACTTTCGCAATATCAATTTGCAAAATACAACTCCGGATCGGAAGAATCCGGCGGGGAAGAGGAGAGCGGAATTTCAAGCAGCGCGCTGATGTCTTTATCGCTCGTATATACGGCGAGTATGCCGCGCGCGCGCGCGCGCTATCGGTCCATACATTCTGCAGATTGAATACCGTCTATTATACGCAAAGTGCGAGAGAGGAGAGTTTCCTGCTGCGCCCATATGGCATCGCGCCGATGGTCGTTCGCTGCATTCCCTACGTCAGTTTGAGCGTGAACGCCGTCGTTTAAAGCCGCGTGAACGATTGTCGCGCGACGGATATTATTTCCGTCGATTCGCGATCGTCGGGCAAACGTCGGGTAGCTACTTCTTCCTTCTTCGATACCTTCGATCCGCACGGATTTCATCGCCGCGCCGCAGCGAATTCCCCGAATGCGCATTCCGCATCGATCGAATTCCGAGAGGCAGCCAGATCGCTGCCAGATTTCCACGCGGACGAGCGAATTTGCCGCGGCTGGAAATCAGCGCAAAACAGCCGAGAAAGAAAATTGAAGAATTAAACCGCGACGCGCGCGCGCGCGCGGTTAATTGGCTCGAATAACATTGCACCGCGCGAGGAACGTAATTCTCCGCGGGGCCGTAATCTGGGGAGGAACTTGCGTAACCGCGCTTGGCCTGCTTTCGGAGGCTGACTTAATTGCGCGCGATAAATTGTCCTTTCCTTCTCTCTCCGTCCATCCGGCGTCGGTTTGTTCTCAAACACGCGCGTCGGTTTATACCCGACGCTCCCGTCATCCCTAACGTCGCGCGTTTCCGGCTCTATCTCTCGTATCTGTCTCGTTTGTATTCCCATGTCCACAATGCATCCGGCAACTAGTAGGAAGAGGGGAGAGGCTCCTGGTTGGCGCATGAGAGATTCGATTGTCAAAGTTATTCCGGGACGGTTAATCCCGCACATTCGAGAGACGTCCCGCAGCTTTCACGAGCGTATATACTAATTTTATCGCGGAATAAGAAAAAAAAACAAAGCAATGTAATCTCGAGAGAAGGCCCCGAGGAAAATGTTAAGTAAGATTTTAAGCAGACGTGAATAATCAAACTTATATATATTTGGAAGTAACTTATTTTTCACGAATGTTAATATAAATTAAAGTTCTCGCTTTTCTTCGCGAAATGAAACGTTCAAAAATAAAAAAAAAATAAAAAAAAAAAAAAAACCTATTGTTCGACGCAGAATCAAAGACTGCAAAGTTCCGTGTTTTCTGCGATCAAATCCGACGCATTGGATCGACCGCGGACAATCGATCGCAAGATTTCCAACTACAGACTGTTATCCCGCACAACACAAGCGTTGTTCGCCGCGGGCAAACAATCCGCGAAAGATTCTCACTCGATAATTCGCAATATCCATTTCCCACATATATTTATATCGTCCTTCTTACTCAGGCGAGACGGACGTTTCCTAGAAAGCCTCGCGGGATCTTTCGCAATCCGAAGATTCCTCTTGTAAGGATCTCACAGCGCTAACGCGCGAGACTCAATTAGCATATATGGCGCAATTTTTGCAAACACACATATATATACATTTAATTAAGCGCCGTGCGTTAAGAGGCAGTTAAAGACTCGCGTTTGAAATATCGCGCATTTAAAGTGAATATTTTAAAGAGACTCGACCGCGAGAGTGTGTCCTCGCACGAAGAAGAACCGGCATGTACCGCCGGATATTTAACAAAATTAATAAAAAAAAAAAAATACATTGAAAATATATTCACGAGAGAACATTTCTCTGTTTCTGCGCAGCGTCCGGCTCGGGATCCGTGATAGGCAGGGATCCGCTTCCGCCGAGGGCCGTCAGCACATCTCATCTGCCTCAAAGAACGCTGACTCAACCGCCAACGGCGGTGTCCACTCTTCCGTTACCGAGGAGCAGCGCCGTCAGCAACGGCCATCGGCAGCAAACGCTTCCGCTTCATCGCACGACTTCTCAGCAGCAGCAGCAGCAGCAGCAACCTATGAGGCAGCAACTCGAAAATGAACTCAGCGGCACCACTCAGATGCTGAGGGCCGCCAGCAACGGCGATATCATCAAGGGTCCCGGCATGTAAGTACATATAGGCGCGCCTCCTCAGTTTCTCTTCTCTCCCGGTACCTATTTGCGCAACGAGAAGTTTCGGGCGCGCTGTAATTAAACCGCCGCCCCTATCGCACCTCGTGATAGGGAAACTTATTAGAGAACGTACTCCGCGCGCGACCGCAATCCCGCGTCTATAGTTTTGTTCCGACAGAGAAAGAGAGAGAGACAGAGAGAGCTCTCATTCTCAACAAACAATTCATTCACTTTGAGGCGACTTGGTCGCGCGACTATTATCGCTAGTCGGATGTTAATATTGTTTCGCAAATATCATCATCGCGATTATGAGTCACAATCGACGTAACAAAGTGACAATATAAATTGAAAAGACTTGTATTGAAACTTACTTTTGGCTAATTGGTATTCTTTTCTTACACCACGTGACAAAATCGACGGATTTCAAAAGAAGAAACAAAAAAAAGAATCTCGAGAGTTCGTCATCTTAAAGATGCATGATCCATTCGAACGCAAATGGGATTAGCTCTTATCGCCTTACTTGGCCCGTCGTGCGTAACTCGTTCGTTTATTCGCTCGGTCACCGAGCTTAATTACTCGTTGCTTGCGTAAACAAGAACGCGTCGTTAAGCTCGACGCGGTCAAATTTCCCGCGTGCTCTTGACAACTCGCGGAGTCGAGGAAGAACGGAGAGAGCGAGCGAGAGAGAGAGAGAGAGAGAGAGAGAGAGAAGAGAGACCCGGGATTTGTGTTGGTATATCGCAATTGCACTAATTAGACCGAACTTGTGCGAAGGGCGCCGCCGTCGATGTCGCAATCGACGTGAGAACCGAGCTCTCAAGTTCGCCACGAGCTCTATTATTACCATGTGACGTGAGAGCTAAACCGCGTTACCTTGATAACATAATCTACTCGCGCGGGGATATATATATATATATATACACACACACACATGTTATTTGTGTATCTTCGCAGCGCGCGTAATCTCCGCGTTTATTTTGCGTAGAGACAGTTTTTCGCTATCCTATTTACGACGTTTCACTTTTCTACGATTTATCCTCAAGTTTTATGCAACGTCGTTACGAACTTCGTACTCTCGATATTCTCTCTTTCTCTCTCTCTCTCTCTCTCTCGAAGCTTAATACTTCAGTACAATATAACGTAATAACAACTTGAGAGAAGTCTCGCGAGAAAATGAGAGAAAGAGAGAGAAAAGTATCATTAAGTATCATTAACTTTTCACAGAATAATACGATTGGGAACCACTGGTATTCCAGAGGTAGCGTTTCCTTTCGAGTCGAGGGTCTTAATTCCTTCTCTCTCTCTATCTTTCTCGCGTTTCTTTCGCATTACGAACGCATTTACGACATCGCCTTTGAAATAGGCGGCGATTCTTTCCACGAATCGGCTCGCTGATGACTTGCTGCTTCATGTCTCGTCGGATTTCAGGGTCGCCGACATGAGAGACCTGAGACTGGCGTCACCGGGCGGTCACTCGAGTCAGCGTATGATCAGCCCGGTCGGACACTTGCGGGTCGCGCCGATGAACGATCATCGAGTCTCCAGCCCGAGCGACAGCGAGATACGAGTGCACAGTCCAAGTAAGTTCCCCTTTTCCATTTTTTTTCTCCGTATAATTTAATCGTCCTGTTTTTCTTCCCCGGTCTCTCTCGATCGGGACCGCGGCTCGAGGCGATTAATCGCTCGCGGCAACTTTCCCGATGGGGGAAATCCGGCTTTATGAAAGAAAACTCGAACTTTTGCCGCGCGCTTCAAGTTAGTCAAAAGACGCAATTAATATATTGTTAGCTGCTAACTACAAAAAAAAAAAAAAAAAAAAAAAAGGATTACTTTCGCGAGAGAGAAAAAGAGTTGAACGTCGCGGAGGAAACAATTGCGTTCCTCCGTCACACACAGCGACGACTTTTCTTCTTTTCGAGACGCGCGTTAATAAATGCTAATTAATTTCGTCGGTAAAGACAACGCTCGAAGCGTTACAATACGCCCGCGTTATACTTGCGAAATTGTTGCTCTGACTTGCGCAAGATACACGTTGTAAAGTTAATAGCTTCCTATATACGTGTAGTATTTTTGAACTTGCGTTTTGAAGAGCCCGGAAAGTTTGTTGACTTTCGTGACGCAAAATTTGATTTTATCGATCGAAAAATCAAACTATAAAAGCGATCGTCGAAAAGTTTGTCGATTCGCGCGGACAAATCGTTCGAAAACGTCCGCCTGAACCCAATCGCCAACTTTCGAGATGGCGCGTTGTACAAAAGCACAATTCCCGGTTCGCGGCCACGTCTTCTCTCCGCAGATCCACGACGACGCGCAAACACCTGTCTTTAACATTCTCAAAATCGACCTCGTATCTCGCGAAGCAGTTTAGCTCCCGCGGTCGCGGGAAACTTAAGAGTGATGAACAGAAATTTCGCTCTTGGGGCGCGGGGATGAGCGATTAATACTCGCGAGATTAAGCGGCGATTTAACGTCTGCTCTGAATCGCGGGAATTGCCGAACCGGTTGAAAAGCACATAAATTCAGGACAAGAGAGAGAGATATATATATATATAGAGAAACTCCGGAGTTAATTATCCGGGAGGATCCCGCTCTTGCGCGATGTGTGTCCCGCGGTCGAAGTGTGCGCCGCGCCCGTGTCTAATGCACGAACGCGCGGAATAATGGAAATCCCGTATGCATCTAGTGTATGTGTGTGTGTGTGTGTGTGTGTCTAACTACACGAGGACGCACGCATAATCGATATCATAGACTTCGGGAAATTCGCGAGCGCGCACGGAGCGAAATTACACGAATCACCGTCTGAGTGATATAATGCCACTTTTGACGTGTCGGTTTTAATTACAATATTATTCTCGAACTGTTTGAAGTAAGATCGCGATAATGAGTAACTTTCAAAGTTCTTATAAAATTCTTTCCAATTAAAAAATTTTATACGCGTGTTAACCTTTAAATAAAAAAATTTACACATATTGACCTAATCCTGTAAACGTTTTTTTTTATTTAGGTACGTATCCTGTAAACCCTGGACATTTGTTTGACGCGGTTTTAAATACCATTAGCTTTGATATATATATATATATATATTTTTTAGAATTTTTTCTGTTAAATAGTTAATAAGATTTTCTCATTTTTAAGAATCGCTCGGATATTAATGTTTGGGATTTATAAGATTAGGATTAATTGATTCGCGAATTTTTTATTGAACAGTTTTTTTTATCTGACTACAAATATATATCGATAGTGGGGACTTTATCTCGCAGATGCGAAAGATGAGTTGTGATAAGTATTATTCGCGAAAAAAAAATAAGGGAGATTGCGGCGCACCGAGTGCGCGCCACGGTCCAGCAAGAATTTTCTTCAAACGCTGCGCGCGCGCGCGCGGCCCGATTCTGTTCTGTATGGAGCTACAATAGCTGCGCAATATACTGCGTAGACGGAAGTGCCTCTCTATTTTACGAAGCGTCCGAATAGCCGCAGCTGCGAAACATTTTTACGGGCATTTGAATGCGCCGGTACAAAAGCGTTACAGATACATCAGCAGTTCGTTCAATTACATGTAGACAATTCCAGGAAAAGGTCTCGTTTCGATGGATACCAGAGAGAACTTTGACAAATCGAATTTTCACGAAAACAATATTCTCGTTTTCTCGAAACTCTGATCGCCAAAATTAAATTTTACTTATCGACGAAAATCATATTAACGTATTAATATATTAATATAAATTAACATATATTAAATTTTAATGTCGTCATATTTTAAAATAATATTCTATTAAATTTTAATATTATCATATTAAAATCAAACATGTATATAGAATCTTTCATTGTAATAACAACGTGGTGTATCCGAACTTGTCGCAACGGGAGAAGAGAAAAATATTCCTTTGAACCGTAAACAGATCGTCTCTGCCAATCGCCGTGATTAAGGAGAAAGCTGATCATCATCTATTCGTGCTTCATTACAACCTTATTTTCACCATTTCACGACGTCTTTTCTCGATGAGGAGAGAAATAACAGTATGAGAAAAGAAAAATCTATAAGAATATCGACGACTCCGATATTTTTCCGACCTCTCGTATATACCTATATATATCATCCTTTCGCTCGTTACGACACGCTCGCAGAAAATGCGCGCGACTTCCTTCGCTTCGTTTACTTCCGCAGCTTTCTCTCCTCCCGAGAAAAACAAACACGTCGCGAAGAGACACCGTGACTTTATATCTTTTTTTTTTCTGTGCTTCGCAGGCGAGAGAAAGATGATCAGTCCGATCGGAAGAGAAGTCGATCGTGGCGGAGGCGCGACGAGCCAGAGACAAGGGCAGCAGCGGGTGCGAGCGGATTGCGGCGAGCTGCTGCATAAAAGGGTAAGCAAACGCAACGACGACGACGACGACGACGACGACGTCGACGTTGTCGCCTTTAACGCCTTTAGCGCGGAAAAGAGCGCCCATCGATTCGATTGGCATGGCAGAGCATGATGATGGATGGAGAGAGGAAATTCGCGTCCTGTCCGCGTGGGGCATCGATCGTGCAAGAATCGCGCAGCGTAGAATTTAACCGCGTCGCGTCGCATCGTCGTCGCGACGCTCGGTCGTCGCGAAATTTATGACCGCGCGCGGACGATCGCGAATGGGTTTCGTTCAAGAGTGCGTCATTTGTATCGCCGCGAAACACATGAATCGCCCACAACGACGACGTTCATTTTGCGGGACAATCGCGCGACGTGTCGGTCGATGTTTTACGAGTCTTTTGTCGCAACTTTTTAAAAAATAAAATACGCACGTGATGAAAAATAAATAAATTGCATATAAGCGATTTTTTCCGTATTTTTTTTTGAATGAAAAAACTATAAACAATTGTAGATTTAATGCGCGCGAGTTGTGTCGCGATCGAATATTGTTACATGCGATCGAGCGATGGCGAATTCTTTCGCGAATATGTTGCACGATCGATCGTCGCTCTCTCCCCTCACTCCCACCTTTCCGCGTTTCGCTGCTTTATTCGTAATTGTCTCTTTGTCCCTGTCACGCAAACACACGCTGTTTCATTGACGCGGCCCAGGCTCTGCATATCATCATCGCAGCATGTAAATTCCATTAGCTCAATTAATTAAAATGTTGCCCCGAGAGAGAAAGAAAGAGAGAGAGAGAGAGTGTGTGTGTGTGTGTGTGTGTGTAAACCAGCACTTTTGCACCTATTACATATATATCGTATCCAATATATTGCAATTTGACAAGAGAGCAAAATTGTCAACATCCGCATCGCGCGTACGCAGTAAACAAAACATTCTCGTACCGCCTACGCCTCAACTTTTCTCCCCGGCGAATTTCTCATAAAATTTACGAGCGAGAAATCGCATATTTCGTCCATTTCGCGTGTGTTCGAATAATTTCTAATTAACGAAATAATAGAGAGATAATTGTGTTGCATCTCGTTATTTTACGCGAACTAGAATAGACTCAGAGAGTCGAATATCGAAATACCGCGCGCGCGCGTGATACTCTCCGACGAGAGGACTCTCTCATCCGCGCGATATCGCGTCGAATCTAATGGAGTTACACGAGTACGTGCGGAGTGAACTTTGTACGCGCGCGCGCGCGCGTTCATCTTTGACTTTTCAAAGCCGGTGCTGCTCAGTATGCAACAAGTATACACAGCAGTAGCGTAGGTAGCGGGACGGTCGTAAAATTTCTAAGCAAAGCGCACGGAGCAGCGCGGAATTTACAAGTTTTGCGCGCGCTACAAATAATCCTGTTAGACGGCATTCTTCGATTCCGAGCGAGTCTCGTCTCGTGCGACGCGTCGTCGATTGTTCTCGACCGAGAAGGGGGAAAAGACGAGCGCAATCGAAACCGTAAAATTTTTCGTCGCGCAAATTCAAAAGAAAAAAAATATAAAAATCGAACGGCGAGACTCTTTTAACACTCGAGTTTATCGCCGGGACGCGCGTGGTGCACGAGCAGGCAGGAAAGTAACGACCCGAGTGTCGTCGTCCTGGCGCCATTACGTACAATGGGCAGCGAAGGGCGGCGAGAGGATCGAAGGGAACGGGAGAGAGAGAGAGAGAGAAAAAAAGAGAGAAAGAGAGACAGAAAAAGAAGGGGGCGGAAAAAGAGCGACTGAAACGCGGCGCGGTGAAAAAAGAGAACCGAGAAACCCGAGGTCCAGGGTCGATCCTGCATACGGTCAGCATCGGTCAGCAAGGGCACCGTGCCAAGGAACTGCGAACGCGGATCCTTAAGCTTCGTGCACAACGTCTCTCGCACGCGCGGTGCCGCATCGAAGCATGCCATTTCTTTGCGACGAACGTTAAGAAAATAATCATTTGCGACGCAAATGATTTTTCGCAAATTATGACGCAGACTGTATAACGCGCAAGTGTCAGATTCAACGTGGAAACAAAAATAAAAAAAAAATGTGGAACTTATGAACGGAAGCTAAATTTTGAAATTCGATTTGTTGTTTGTTGATCTTCAAATTTCAACGGCAAAACCTCTTTCAAAATCAATCTCGCGTGTCGCGAATTTGCAACGTTAACCTTCGTAGATCGTGTTGCGTCCATAAAAAAAGATTAAAAAAATAAAAACGTAACACGACTTTGGACGCTCGCAAAACATGCTCGTTTCTTCGTCCTCGAAATAAACCGCGAGGCGTATCCTCCTTTTCCTCCTCGTGCAAACCTCGCATTTTACGGACGCGTCAACCGCAGAATATTACCGCAAGATGCACACGAGGCATCCATTACCGCGCGCGCTCGTGGATCTTGTGTTCGTGAACCCGCGTTATCGTCGTCCCCGCCGCATAATGCCATCGATAGGAGAGAACACACATGGCGCACGGTATATGTACGATGTGAGGTCGTCGCGACGAGTCAGAGGAGAGAGAAGCGAAGAAGGACGGCCGGAGGAGAGGCCAGAGCGAAGCTCTCGGAACTTTTGTCGGCGAACGTACCCGCGTGTGGTCGAGGGACGACCGGGGCCCCTTCGGGGCAAAAGGTACAAAACGCCCAGGCACTGGGCGAACCGGGCAACGGCGGCGATGCACAACTACGTTAGCCGGCCGGTCGGCGAACAAGCGATCGGCATGACGCCAGTTCGTTCGAGGTCCTCCTCGCACTCTCTCGCGTCGTTCAGCGCGCGCCGCGCCGCGTTCCCGTTTGTCGCATTCAGAGAGAGAAAATATTTCTTCTTTCCACGAAGATCCGAAGAGTGTCTTCTTTTTGATCGAGAGGACGCGAGAGAGGATTCCAAGAATTTCGGACGAGCACGAGAGCTTCGCGAAAACGAAACGCTCGGGTCCAGACTTCGCCTGGGGTACGATTGAGTCGCTCTTGAGTGTATTTATTTAGAGTTAGAGATTAAGATGGGAAAGAGTGTGGATTTTCTCTCTCCGCAGACTCTTCTTCGGTTGCAGCGTTTCAAACAGCACTTGAAAATTAACGCGGGAACGAAAAACACACGCGGACGTTCAAATTGAAAAAAAACATCGGATCTTCTTTGCTTTTTTTTTTATTTTTCAAGATCTAATCTTGCGATTGCATTGATCGAAAACAAATAATATCGTTTTTATTCCGTAGATACGCGTTGTAATGATTATTTGAAAAAAAAAAAATAATACGAATTTCCAAAAGCAACTGCAACCGCAGCGATACGCGATTCACGTAAAAATTGCGCGATAACATAAAAATGTTTTTTTGATCCTCGCACGAATATATCTCTTCGTATATCGTGAAAGTGCCACTGTGACAATACGCGGATACAAGTAAATGTGTGAGCGTCGCTCGTTCGCGATATCGTCCAATGTGCTTTGTCGCGCGGACATGTTGATGCACTTCAACTTCGACGACTGTACGTGCCCTTGTGCGCGCACATAAAAGGAAAGAGTCAGAGAGAATTTACCGAGCGCGATCGTTTCTCCCTCACAAGGGAATATTTTTGATCTCTCGGCGAACACGTCCTTTCTCGCGCGAGTATAGATCAAGATTGCACGAATTCGAGAACGCGCGCCAACGAGTGACGGGAAATTTTTCCTCGAGACAAAATTCGAAAAGCGAACCGAGGAGCTTTCACTATCACCACCACCACCACCACTTCGCATCTGTGTCCGTTAAGATAAGAGGAATACGGCGTGCCTTCGTTTGCGCGAAGAAGAGAGGACTCGCGGGGCCGATCGATACCGATTGCCTTGGAAACTTCATTCGTGCATCGCCTTCATTTCGTCGAACGAAATCTTTCTCGTTTTCTTTCTCGCAGCGGAACGCGCGCACTCCGCGCGCGCGAGAGAGGCCGCTTTGGCGTGACCCGTCCGCGCCGATGGGAATTCGTCGACCGACCCCCGGTCGTTCTCCTTCGGAGCGAGCGAACGAGGTCTCTCTCTCTCTCTCTCTCTCTCTCGTATTAGAAAATTGGAAAGTAATAGAAAACTACGGGGGCGCGCGCATTACCGTCTTTCTTCGATTTTCTGTGACCTTTAGAAGTTCGCTCGCCATGCGATGGCGCGGGCGCACGGTGAGACATAAACCGTTCGGCCAATTTGCTCCGAAGTTATTTCACTGGAACCGTAAGTAAACGTGACGGTTTTTGAAGCGAGTTTTATTTTATTTTATTTTATTTTATTTTTTTTTTTCAAAAATAGAAAACTAGAAGAGAATTTTTCGAGAGAGTGTAGGAAGAAAAAGAAATTCACACGCGCTCTCTCGTCATCGGCGTTTTCTTATTATATGTTATGTGATGGCCGGAAGATTCAATTCAGAAGTACGTACGAAGTATTTTCGTCTATTCGTGAGATATGATTTTAGAGCGAATTTTATTTTTCCAAACGCGCGATATTTTTTTTGTATCCGAAATTAAATTCTCGGATCTTAGCGATCACCTATCGATCATATATCGATGTAATATCGCACGCGCGTTTCGCGATAGAAACGATATTGTTTAATCGCGCGATAATATATAAATGTTCGAAACAAACAAACGCTATTTCGTAATTTGCGGCGCGATTGTATTCGCGCATCGATACGCAATCGTGTCATTATTTACTCGTCAATTCCTGTCTCTCGCGCACAAACAATTGATAAATCGCTTCGACGATATAATTGCGTTGTACTCTTCAATCGACAATTTGTTGCCGCGTGTCGTTTCCACTTTACGTTTGGCTTTCGCATTGCACACGGGGGCCGTACGTATGTAAACCGCCTCTCGAAGCCACCGCAAATCCGTAAGAGCCGCGGTACACTCTAAAACGTAGCGGTTTTGGAACAACGCCGCGGCGGATGAATGCGACAGGAAATCGGAGGCGTACGAACGGATATCGACGAGTAATACTCGTCGGTCCGCGCCGAAGAAATTCCGAGCGCAATTTAAAAACTGCGCGGCGAGAGTGTCGCGCGCGGTCGGCGCGCAGAGACGTCGAAACCGCCGACGTTGAAATTTCAATACGGTCAAACAGGCAGACCATCTAATTCGAACCCGATGCGCGGTTCTCTATTTGACCGCTTATGCGGGATTTGTTTCGAGAGAGAGAGAGAGAGAGGAATAGTTACCAGAGAGCATTTTATCAGCTTCGCGCGAAACAGCGAAACGGTCGATTATATTTGTGCGTCCCCCGCCCGGTCGCTCTCGTAATGCAATTCACATCTCTTTGTGCAGGTTTCGGCACAAGCACCGATCTCTGACGAGCGCTATTTTCTGCGAAATGCGATGACAATATTGGCTTACACGTAGTCAAATATAAAATTAGTTACTGGTATAGACAAGAGAGAGAGAGAGAGAGGATTGTTTTTTTCTTTTTTTTTTGTTTTGCATATTCTGAAAGATCTCACTGAATCCGTTGCGATTCAGAACAATAACGTAAAGCGGATTACGTAATACATTTCGACTGCTGTATGTGACTTTTGTTGGTGAAGCTGCAGATGTCACAAGCGTTGTGTTGTCAATTTTACTATACATGCTGTCGATGACAAATTTGTTCCTCTCCCATGCCAATCAAATCCACTGAGCTTCGCACAGTTTATACGCGCGAGTAATTGCGAAATTAAGTCTCTTTGTCCCTTTAAGTGTCTTTTTTTTTTTTCGTAAACGTGTGTTGTAGATAACAGTCCTCTAGAAGGATCCGTCAGTGTTTTTTTCGAAGTTGCTAGTTGTTTAATTGTTGCGCGCTTTTCTTCCTAACATCTTGAACAAATCTATTAGCTGCTCCGGTTTCCGTCTCTATTTACGTCAGACAACAAAACTACTCTTGGCGCAGTATCATCATCGCCGCAAACACTCTCGCAGAGTTTGACATAACGCAAGTCCCATATGTCACAGCTCGATTACTCGCGCGCCCGTGCGTGTGTGCGCGTGTGTGTGTGTGTGTATGGCTAACGGACGATTGCATGCCTCGACAGAGTAACGTCAGCTCCCAGAGAGCGGATGCCGGCGGGAGACAGTTGACGCAGACCGGGACTTCCGGGTTGGTGCGCGTTTCCGCTGGCGAACTCCTCGGCAGGACTCATGAGGAACTGGTGCTGCTGCTGATCCAACTGCGACGACAGAACGCGACGGTCCTGAAGGCGATGGAGACGTGCCACATGGAAATCGAGGCGCAGGTCCGAGATGAGAGAAAGAGAGTTTACAACAAATTTTCACAGCAATTAGATCGGACGACACGGACGGACGGACGGACGATGACCGATGGTGGTCGCGGATGGTGCCCGCAAACCGGAGCCGTCTGGACGACGAGGACTGCGTCGATTTCTCGTCGCTTCTTTTTTTTTCTTTCTTTTTTTTTTTTTTTTTTTTTTAATGAATCCGCTCTTATAACGTCGGTGAAATGATGATGATTTCGCTTTTGATTGACGACCGGTGCAGTTTGGCGAGATCTTTCAGAATGTGTTTCTAGAAGTAGATCGATGTTGTAGTCGCACGTAGATTATGAGTTCAACGTGACGATGATGCAGTGTGAACGATCGTTTTCACGGTGTCGTGAATGCGGACGCGAGCGCGCAAATAACGAAGGTGGATTAAATGGATTCGATTACACTTGGCGAACTTCGCGGACCGTGAAGTGTAATTTATCGGACCGAGCGCGAAATACGCGTATTCTCTCTGCCTCGTATTAAGCGTCACGTTGAAGTTTATTTTTTATTTCTGGAAAAAAAATCGAAAAAGAGAACGCACACGAATTTACGGGACGTGTAAATGAGAATCGTCGCGACGAAAGGATCTTTTCGAAAAGTCGAGTCGTACTTAGGGATCGCTTTTTCATGCAAAATAAATGTGTTCGTTTGCATTATTGTTCGGCCTGCACTCTGAGTAACTGAGTCGCTTTTAGCACGCGAATGCGTTAATTGGCACGCAAAGGAGCTGCTCTCCCTCTGGACGCAGCGCGATAAACGTTTCGTGTGTTTCTGTTTGCACTTCGCAGGCCAGACTGGCGGAGCTCGACACGCCGAGACGACTGGAGAATCTTCAAAAACTCGAGGAACTCAAGAGACACCTGATGGACCTCGAGAAGCAGGTGAGAGAGAGAGAGAGAGATACCGTTTATCGCGCATATCATCATTTTATCGTAGAAATGTTAATTACGTACAAAGTTATGAAGAATGATGAATCAGTAACTAAGAATAGATAGCGACAATCTTGAGAAAATTTGGCGAAGCAAATGTAAATTGAAATTGTGAGACGAAAAATTAAACAAGAGAAATTTAACATTTTTCTTGAATATAATTGAGATCGAGCGAAAAATTAAACGGAGATGAAATTTTTTCTCGAGAAAGATTAAGTTTTTTCTCTGATTTCTCGACCCTCAACAACCGAAGTCAGTTTGTTCATCTACTGGTCCGAAAAACAAATTAATTAATCATGTAATTGTGTTCTCTCTGTTCACTAATCAAAGAAAAAACAAAACACATGGAAAAAAAAGTGTTGCCTTGCCACGGTCAAGAAAAATTTGCTGAGTCTACTGAGGTTTTTGTTTCGTCAACAAAAACTTCAATAGACTCAGCTCACATTTTTCTTGTTGGTCATGTAGTAATCAATCTCCTTGCTTTTTCTCTGTAGCAAAAACCTTTTTTTTTTCTTTTCGTATACATCTTTGAATGCGCGTTTGTTGTGTGTGTCTCGTTTCTATAGAAAACACTCTGAGATATATTCTTAAGTTTATTCTCATGTCTTGTGCAAAAAGTACGAGAAGAGCAAGCCCCTCGTAAACCTCGTGGACAACATGGTTAAACTGGGCTCGCTGTACAATCGCAACACTGCCAACGGGACCAGCAACGTTTCCGGTTCGCGCCACGATCTGACGCACGAGAACGCGACGAGGGATCATCGCGATCGTTTGGAATTCAATCAGAGGGTTCAGGAGCAACGACTGCTGGCCGAGGAGCGCAGAGACTGGGACAGATTGAGCCCCGATCACGGACAGTTACAAGTAATCGGATTAACGATCGTTCATTGACCGCCTTTTAATTGTTTTTATTTATTTATTTTCTATTATGCAAACGCGCAGCTGTGAAATAGATACAAAAACTTCCCTTCTCGTTAACAAATTCCCAAAACTGTCGGCGGTTGACACATCGCTGCTTCGCGAAAGTAAAATCCAATTAGCAAACATGCCTTTTCAAAATACGAGTCACGAAACACATTTGACGCTCGCACGAAAGTCTCACGTTTCCTATTGTGTTTTCTCATATTGTTACATTCTTGTCGCGCGCGTGATTCCATGATTCGCTCCTAGGAGAGCGCATTTAACCGTAAGATGAATTGTGTCCGCGACACAAAATTCTTTCTGACCGATGGAAGTAATTCCCGGAGCTGCCCGTGTGCAGCCATATAACACCGTGTGCCCCATTCACGGCTGTGAAAAAGCCGATTGGAAAAGACGTACGTGCGAAAATTAACAACGATCGCGGACACACAATCGCAGGAGAGACAAACAGACAGACAGACAGACATACGTACGATACGTGCTACACTTACGACACTTACGACTTCTCGTAAATTCTATGCCAAGAACCCGTTTTTACCGGAGGTATATAAGCTCGTTCCCGTAGTCGAGCCGCGTCTTTCCACGGACAGTGTTCATTTATTACTTTACATCTCGTTTTCCTCTTGTTATTACACAACTCCCTCGGCTCCCTCGACGATCTTTTCGACGTCCGCGCGATCTTGCGCGCGCGGAATTTTCAATTTGCTCGCGACGTCACGCGTTTTTTTTAACAATAATATAATAATAATATTATTATTATCTTATTACAGAGATACAAATATCTTTGCTAAAATATCTTTACTAAAATAATATCTTTTTTTTTTTTAGAAACAACCTGACGTATAATCGAATATTCATGAAAAAAAGATATATATATGTGAGATCGTTTATTTTATTCGCGATATGGACCGTTTATTTTGAAAGTGGTGTAAGTCCATTTTTGGAAAAAAATGAGATATCACGTAATTCATGCTTAATTTAATGTAAATTTTTTATGTATAACTAGTTTCTCGAAACAAAAGAAAATGGACTTACACCACTTTCAAAATAAACGGTCCATATATATAATATTTGATGCAGTCGCTTAGATTATCCGCTGCGACATTTGAAGCAAAACTGTTTTTTTTTAAATGAATGAAAAATACACGTTTCACACGAGTCTCACTGTCGGGTGGAAAGATCGCGGGGACAGAAACCCGAGAGAACAGAGACTCGCGTTGTTTCCCGAAATCAAACGACGATCTCTTTCCCGCGATCTTGTTGCGGTCTGAAGCGCTACGTTCCGAGACAGCGGAACTTCAAGATTTCTTGTCTGTTCGCTCTCGATATCCCTTTTCCGTGTTGCAGGCCAAAGTGCAGCAGCTCTACAAACTCGATCGATTGCTCCAGGAGGAATCCGGCACGCTGCATAGTCTCCAACAGGACAAGGTTGGTATAATGTTGTGCGGTAACTACCGACACACTCTCTCGGATTTAAGCCCGAATAAACCGAGCACGAAGAACTTCGAGCGTATCTGCTTTCGCGTCTGATCGGAGGAAAGCGCGAAAGTTTTCGAGCTTCTCTTGTAGAAAAAAAAAAATATATATATATGTATATACTCGTGTCTGTGTTCGAAACTCAGCGATATTTCGCCATTATCGAAGAGAAATCCGATCATAATTTTCTCCGCACGAAGAAAAACGTAGGTATCGGTCTTTCGTGGCTTTTAAAGGAGAGGGATGTTGTTGTGTTCGTTTTCGAAACTTAGATAAAACGAACGTTCCCTTCCCTTCCTCCGTACCGTTCCGATGCAATAATATAAGTCGCGAAATGACGTCGGTCGTTCCAATTTCGTTCTCGCGATACACAGAGAGAAAAATCGCTATATATCATATTACACGCATGGCTAACTTGATGCTTCGCAGGAGATACTCGAGAAGGCACTGGGCGGATTGCGGCACAAACTGCAAGGCAGCAGAAGCAATTTGGCCGAGGCCGAGCGGTATCGGAAACAGCAACTCTTGCTGGAGCGCGAGCTGAGCAGGGTGAGGGTCCTGCTCGCTCACAATTCGAAGGTACATAGACAATTGCGATAGAAAAAAACGCGCCTCTTTGCGACTACAGCCGCTCTAAACGCGCGTGTCTCTCTCTCTTTCTCTCTCTCTCTCTCCTCTCTTTTTCCCTCTCTGTATCCGCTCGATTGATCCGCGCGCGAATTATTAATCGCGATGTGTGACGTTAAAACCGAGTAAATTGCGCGTCAGATTTCGAAACGCGAGCGAATATCGATGTTCGTTGACGCGCGTGTTTTTTAATTGATTTTGAAACTACATTGATTATCTTAAGCGTGTTTGTTTGTTTTTTTCTTGTCACACTGATGTTTTTATCGTTCTATGACGGATTTCCGATTTGTTCGACGTATATTTTGTCGGCGAACATTCGAGTGAGATGATCGGAGGGAAGTAATTTTCAGAGCGCGTTCTTTGATCTCGTCGTCGAGATCGCGCGCGCGTTTTTATTCCCGCTCTCTCTCTCGCAGTTTGTCTCGCGCAACGTAATATCCTTTTGCAACTTAATATCACACCGAAGATAGTTGTAGCACGTAAGAATTTATATAGAAACGTCACGTCCGCGAGAGTAGATCGTATTACGTAATAAGCAATTAAAGCTTCGATTCACTGTTTTTCCAGGTGAAGCCGGTATTCTTCCAGGTAAATTGCTTTACTCACTTCAACATTAAATTACCAATATCAGTTCCGTCGTTCGCCGTTTAGTTCGCCATTATGTCGTCGCGCGTCAAACGATCGCCGCGTTTTTTTTTTTTCTTATTTGTCTTTGTTTCTTTAATATTTTGCGACTCGCGCGCGCGCGCGCGCTCGCGTGCTTTCAGAAACTCGAAGAAACGGTGGCGGAGAACGCGAGACTGGAGCAGGATTTGGTGGTGCTGAGGCAGAAGGTGCAGGCGTCGCGACGATACGCGGGCAACATCGCGAGAGACACCTCGAGCACGACCGCGCCGTTAGAAGCGGAATTGAGACGAGTGCAGCAACTTGTCGGCGATCTGCAGAGACAGAGGAAGGAACTGAGTATACAGGTTCGCCAGTTGACGGAAAAGTCGCACAGTTTGGTGCAGCAGATCCGACCTCAGCCTCCGCACGGTAAGAATTCTCGAGGAGATGTTCAAGATGTGTTAATTTTGATTGTTTTCATGTTTGAATATTTTTTTTATAACACAATATTATTGTATTTCGTTATAAATTTATAAAGAGAAATCTTATTAACAAGAATATGTAAAATTCTAATTTACGGGATTTGTATAGTTTTTTAAATTAATGTTTATTATTTAACAAGTGTAATTTATATTTTTCGAAGACACAGTCAACTCTGTTGTTCATGAGAGAAGAATAATAAGAGGATTAAAAAACTGCGTTGTTTGTTCTCTTTCTAGTTCCGCAAGTGCATCATCCGAAGAAGCGCACGCAGAATTCCTGGCTGGAGACCGACTTGGATTCCGGAATAACTCTGGATCACGGTCTGGACTCGCCGTCGAGTCCGTCCCTGTCTATTTCACCCCCGAGCAAGCAGAGCGACAGCTCCCATCAGCGATACGGTTCCCCCACTCAGCACAAGGACCTTTCGCCCTTGAATCGACCGCAGAATCAACAATCCTTCGCCCAGCCGTCGCAGAATCACATATCGGCTCTCTCGCCGCAGCTTCGCGAGCAGATTCAACAGCATCAGCTGAAGCAACAATTGCTGAAGGATCAGATGCAGGGCAAGGGTGGCGCGATCCAAGTGGCGCCTCTCTACGTTAACACGGATTCCAGAGTATCAGGTAATAATGTTTGTTGTGCGTTGAGCGCGGAGAGATAACAATTTTAATCCAGTATTAAACTCAATTGAGGATAGGCAACCGAGTGTCGCTACACACTCGAGTTGATTTTCATTGTGAATAACGTAAATGTACTCGCACGTAAACGTACTGATTTGTCGCCTTTGCCGCAAGGTGATTACGTTGCCGACACGAGCAAGCACAACGGAAACGCGTTGAATGGCGCGCCACCATCCGCACCGGAATACATTCCGCCACCGCCGCCTCCTCTGAGCGAAGAGGCGTTGATGTTGAACGACAATTATCGCCAAAACGAGGACAACAAATTCGCCGGTAAGTCGTCCGGGGTTAGCCGCAGAAATTATCAAACCAGAAAAAACGTGGTTGTTTCTCATTCTTTCTTTCTCTCTCTCTCTCGGTAATTTTCGCAGGCTTGATGCACAATCGCGAGAAGCAGGAGATCAAGACGGTGCGTATCGTGAAACGCGAGTCGGAAAGACGACAAAGGGATCGCGGCGATCGAACCGGAAATCTCGGAATTCCTCTGACAAACGGCTTGCAAGCACCGGGCGGCGCCAAGAGACTTGGGTGCGACGAGGACCTGGGGGGTTCCCAAAAATTCGAAGTACGTAAATATACCAAAATAAATAGAGCGTATATAAATTTTTTTTTTCGCAAAAAAAAATTTTTTTTTAAATTAGACATAAGTACGACCGCTAATTGTGTTAATGACACGTGATCAATGTGAATCTCACAACACCCAGAAGGCTCAACTGGGCAGAGTAGTGGAGGAGTCGCCTATCGTTCACGCGCAGAGCACGGTCCAACTGTCGGAACTGGACGACGTTCAGTTCCAGAGGAGCATGTCCCTGCCGCGCGGTTTCGGCGGACAGAAACAATACTCGGGACTACACCACGGGCCCGTGGTGCCTCCACCCCGTAGCGACAGTATGCACGCTTTGAAGAGCATGATGGCGCGACGACACAAAATCAGGGTAAGCTTCGCGAGAGACAACATAATTTTTTAGAGATTCTTCGTTGATACTTCTTGGACGTTATCAAGATGATTTCACTTCAATCCCCGACCGCTATGCTCGCTGCCGCCCGCCCCGACTTTTTGTTGCCGATTCCGATTGGTCATCTCGGTGTTTTAAGTTTCTTTCTCTTATTTTTTTTTTTTGTTTTTCGACGTTTCAATCACAGTTCGAAAGTCACGACGGCAGCTCCGATAGCACTCTGTCGCCGTCCTACACGGACAGTCCCACGTCGAGTTCCCACGTGCCGATGAGCTCGCCCAACTACTCCACCGCTTCGTCGTACAGCCCGAGCCAGAATTATCCGCCGCAGATTGCCGCTCAGTCTCAGTATCACGCTCAGAGCCACCCGCTCGGACCGTACAGGCAGTACGAGAAAAGTTTCGCGGGCACGATGAGCCCCGAATTAATAACGTCACCGACTAATGTCGGCGTTCACGAAAAGCCGATTGCCGCCGCGACGACCACGACGACCACGACGACGACAACGAGCGCGAACCGATCGGAGTCGCCGCAATTGTCGCCGGTGTTCAAGAGCGAGGCGGCCAAACAGATTATCAAAGAGATGACGGAGAAAAGGGTTGAGGGACCGAGACGGAGGCAGATCCCGCGGGAAAAGAGACGGCACTACACCGTGTCTAGTAGCAAACCGGTGCTCGACTTAGAGGACGCTTTCTCGAAGATGGTACTTTTTGTTTCATTCAATTTTCGTTTTTCTCTCTGCCTCATCTTCCTCTGTGTCTCTTCGTTTTACCTGTGTGTTTTTGCTTCGTCTATCTGTCTTCGCTTTCGACTCGTCGTTTCACTGTGTGTCTTCCCGCCCTCTCTTTCTCTCTTTCTCTTTCTCTCTCTCTCTGTTCGGTCGTGGCAGCTTCGAAAAAAAACATTCTGGATATGGTAATTTTTTTATTAGTTTTTTTTTTTTTTACTCAAGCGTACGTGTGTTTGTGACGAGAATTTGTGCGATGATGTTTATAGGGCATGGGCAGAGCTCGGGACGATTTGGACATGGAGAGAGCGCTCCGACCGAGAATAAACGCTCCCGATGTAGTGCGATCCACGCTGAGTCACAAGGAACTCAAGTACAACGAAAGCACCATAGATCAGTTGTTAGGCACGCCAAATAAAATCGTCATTCCCGAACGATACATTCCCGAACAGGTAATTGTTGAGATGATTGCGCCATTTTTATCTAACAATCATTTGTTAATTGATCACTTTGGTTTCGATCCGACAAGATCCCACGATCTTCTCTTGGGATTTGCGTAAAGAAATTAAACGAAGGGTGATGTAATAATATAGAACTGTTATATTAATTTTTCAGACACCGGAACTAACAGCGGAAGAGCAAGAGCAACGTCTAAAAAAGGCGGAAGCGATCAGGAAGATGCTCTCGGAAACGACCGTGACCGCGCCGGAAGGAGGTGCTGCGCGATATCTTCTTCTCTTGTTTTTTATTCTCTCATTATTATATTGCGGAACGCGTTCTTGATCAATCTGTGTGTGTCGTCTTCGTTTTCAGATGACGACTCCAACGTACAAAAATCAGATACCCTGAAACGAAAGGTGGTGGAGGAGAAGCGACAGAGAGAACACATTCTCCAGCTGAATCAGATACTGGCGAAGGAAGTGATGGAGAAAAGCAAGATGGTAGCGGGTACGTTTGCCGAGAGACGCAATTCTTAATTCTTTCAGATATGATTTCTGCATGATTTCTAATTGTTTAATACGTAGAGCTGTGTGGCAGCATGTTTCGTTCAGCTTTGAAGAAACAAAAAACTTTTTTTTTATTATTATTGTTAAATCACCGACGCGGTTTTTGCGTTTTTGATTTTTTTTTGTCTTGTTTATCGCTTACAGAACTGTTTTGCGACGTTTGCAGCGTCCGTTCGATATCAGAGCAATTTACCACACTTATTGTTTGTGGACAATTCACGTCCGCACATACGATATATATTTCTCTCAACGCGCATGTTTTACTTAATTTATTGTTTTTTTACTTACGATTTTTTATTTAGCTTCGAAAAGCAAGACAAATAGTTTTTATCTTAGGGAGTGTTGTTTGGATTTTGTTTGTGCTTGTGTGTAGGTAACCAGGCACACTGACTGACATGCTTACTCCATCACCCTATAGGACACGCACGTCACATTATCATTTGCAGGTTTGTTTACCATTTTTCATTTTTTTTTCATCTCTTCTTGCTCTTCACTAAGTTTTTTTTTCCCACAATCAAGCTATGCAGATATAGAATTGCAATACTTATCACTTCTGTCAAGATACGTTTATTGAAACGAATTTATATTTTTTCCCCTCTGCTAATTTCAGTCAAATAAATAAATAAAAAAAAAAAAACAATGGAACAACTTTTTATTGCAAGAAAATAGAAAAAAAATAAATGTTGTTGAAGTTTGAAAAGAGTCGAGCGAAAAAATATATTTTGACGAAATTCCGAAGCTCTTTATTTGTGAAAAAGTGAATATATTTCATCGCGTAATATCCATTGTTATTTTTTTAAATAAAAATTTGTTTTTTTTCCTCGACGAAACGTTGCAAATTTGGACGACATAAAAATAACATTTTTTTATTACAATGAAACGACTCACTCCTCACTTTCAGTAAACGTATCGACTTGCAATGTACGATTACATGTGACTGTGTATGTATATGTGCGATCTATTGTAATTTCATTCACATCGACAGTGAAAGCCTTGGCAACGCTTCCTCTGAAAACCGAATCGAGCTTAGACGACGAAGACCTTTCGCCGGTGGCTCCTTTGCCACTTTACCAGCAACGAGAAAATTACTACTCGTAAACTCTCGTCATCCGAGAAGCACAAACAACAATATTACTGCCAACACGGAGAGAAGAAACGAAGATGGGGAAAAAAAAAAAAAAAACTACGAAGAATTTCTCTTCCCTCGACGTTTGTAGTAAAAAGAAGAAGTGAACGCGACAATTCGCGCAATATACACACCGGGAATGTGCTTTTCACTAGCGTTTTCGAACGCGTTGTATATAACAAAAGATCGTCGAGATCTTTAAATAAAACAATAATGTATGTACGACTAAACACACGTTAACTTTAAGTGCAGGTGGTGACTGTGTGATGAAAAAAAAAAAAAAAAAAAAAAGAAAAGAAACAAAGAAATTATCATCACGTTATCACAAACTGCGAGGAGTGAAGCTCATCGTTTTTTCCTGTTTAAAACTCTAAGATGATCGAATTTAACAAATAACGCAATTTATTTACACACGTTTTGCTAACATCGACATTCGGCGTTAGATAAGCAAATTGTACAAGTGCCGAATGTCGAGCGAATTTTCCGGGCAATGTGAAAATCCCGAAAACCTTTGGAAAACCTTTTATCGCGTTTTTTCGCACTCGAAAGTTTCTTTTTCGAAACGTTTCTTCCAGAGCTCGTATCTTACAAGCGTAATAAGAAATCGATTCTCTTGACTGAGAGAAGAGTCACCGAGAATTTGAATGTTACTATTATTCTCCCCCGTTTTACGTACAATCATTTTAACGCGTTGCGAAGTTTTATATTAACGATATATAAAAAAAAAAAAAACAAACAAAAAAAGACAAAAAAAAACAAAACCTTGTGTACCATCACCAAAGTCTGAGAGAACAAGAAATTGTATTACCTTTAGATTTATATTAAAAAAAAAAAAAAAAAAAAAACGCAACTTCGTCGTTTTGACGAAGGGTTTATGATAATATATTCGACTCGATCGCGCGTTTGTGTGTACAAAAATCGAAATGAAAGCGAGCAATTGTGCGAGAGTTGGCTGTTGCCGAAATGAATAATCGAATCTCTTTTGATTCAATTTGTCGAACACACAAAGATGAAAGGAAAAAAAAAACAAATACAAGAACGGCGCCGATCACGAGATTCGGACGACAGATGTGTTCGAGAAATTCAGCCGTTCGCGTCGTTCGAAAAAACGTTTCCGGACACATTTCGCGGACACGCGTGTCGTCCGGCAGGAGATCATCTGTATGTAAACTTTCTTAGATTGTAAGAAAAAAAAACGCATTGGACACGCGTAAACGCTTTTCCGAAACGCCCGTACGTTATATTGCGCACGATTTTTCTCCACGGGCCCACACTCTAGCACACGGTGTGTTTTTGACGTTTTAGCGAAGTCATTTAATTAACACACTTAACCGATCGTAATTTACAAAGAGTGCCAAATTCCTTGTTGAACGACGGAGAGCGATTGAATGTAATTTAAGGAATCGCCGTTAGTAACGAGACAAGAGAATCAACATTGTGTATGAAGTACGCGCGATTTATAGGCATCTATTGTATAGAATATCATCTCTTAAACACAAACATGATCTATCTAATAATTTATTTCACCGTCTTGGTTTGACCAGACTTCTCTCTCTCTTTCTCTCTCTCTCTCTCTCTCTCATCGATATTTTATTCGAATCGGATTCAAATTCTTTCGAAAGCGTGAAATATCGATTGTTCTCCGAATATATAATCGCACATTTCACAAAAGAAAGAATTCACAAAACGATTCGTGTATGGTCGGTATTAATGTCATTAAAATAGGTGGTCCAAAGATAACACGTATATGTACACACGCGAGAAGCTACTGCGAAAGAATTTCATATCAGACGCGATTTACCGCAAGATCGTCGGTGCAAGGTTTGGTCAAACCGGGCCTACGTCGAGGTATTATTCATCGAATATTATATATATTGTTACATTTCACAGAGATCCTCTGGTACCGAGATACAACTTTCCGAAAGTGTATATACGTGTACGGTCAAACGCTGTCAGTAAAAAAGCCAATTAATAGGCTCCCGGTCGATAAGCGCCGCAAAGTGTTGTCTAATTTCATATCGAGCCGCGGATCGATTGAGTTTGAACAAATGTGCAACCAACAGCTTCGTTACGCAAGATCGGGAAAAATTCATCAACTCGAACACATCGGTGTTCAAGCAAAGCGGATTGTTTTCGCGATTACACTCGTTCAAATATTTCGCACATTTATTTCGCGCTTTTATTTTTGCAGAGTTCGTTATTATTTGCATAGTATTTTGTTTTTAAGTTAATTAAGTTTATCAGATATTTTTTTTTTATTTATAAGTAGACTTACCGAACAGCGCCTCGAAAAACTTTTCGCCTCGGTGCTGGAGAAAAACCTCTCGAGCGGTGCTCGTCTTTTCTGACTTGGGCGAATCACCGAGATCCTCTAGCAATAAGTTTTTGATAAACGATAATACACGCGCGCGACGATACCCTCTTTGTCACTACTGTACAATACTACGTATTTAAGCGCGTTTACTGTACATAATAATCGTGCACGAGGATAACAACAACGCACTCCCGGTGAAAAAGAAACGGGAAGAAAACGCGACTCTCTCCAAAAAAACAGCGACGTTTCCTCGTAAAAGTCCGCCATTAACTGTTCGCAGAACTTCGAGATTCGAGAATCGCAAGCGGCGCGCGCACGCGCAGTCGCGCTACTATCGATAAGCGATTTCGATCGATTTGATCGATCGATCGATAGCTCGCGGTTTTAAAAACCATGTTTCGTAGACTTGTATAAAGTATTATTATTATTATTATTATTATTATTATTATTATTATTATTATTATTATTATTATTATTATTATTATTGTATTGTATCGCGCGAGTAAAACACACCGAAGATCACCATCACCAGTATAAAAAAAAAAAAAACCGCGTGAAACATTACACGAGTTATCACGAGAACGAGAACTGTTATTGTTATAATGATGAAATAAAAATCGGCGAGCAACAATATGCGTCTTCTTCAATTCCCCATCTCCGAAAATTCAAAAATTGAATAATTTCGCGAGAGACCATGTTAAAATTTTATTATATCGAAGTACTTTTTTTACGCACATAAAGTTATTATCTTTTCTTCTTTTAATTCGACAAAGAAAATATAAAGATATCGATAAATACGTAGATATAAAAATATTATAAACAAAATTTAGAAAACTCGATAAGAGATTTTATACTTGAGACTTTGAATGATCATTAAAGTATCTGAGTGTATCGCGCGAAAAAGGTCAATTCGAGGTCGCTGGTCGTGTCCGTTTGTATCCGATCAGCCGATGTAAAATGGCGCACATGATAAGATCCAAATTCTTGTTGCTGTCACTGAATTACGCTAATCGCGTCGCGTCGCGTTTCTCCGCGCCCCTAAAATTTCAACGATTATGTTTCCACACCAGCGGGATTCTCGATGGTATGACATTTATTCAGAAACGACGATTTTTTCTTCTCCCGGTGGACTTTTGAGGTTAACCTTGAAAGATACAGTTCGAGCGAAAAAATCTAAGAGATATATAAAATTATCTCGTTTTTAACAGTGATGTTAAAAAAGTGAAAAGTGCAATCAATAAACATTAAACAGAAAATGATTTGGAATTGTTTACGGTGTCAAAATAAATTCTTCCCATACTCTGTTATGCAATCAGATTGTTTGAGCAGCACATGTGCTGTCAAAAAGTATTTGTTCTTACGATTTTTTTAAATAAAAACGTTGATACAAAAAGATGTGTTTTTTTAGTGAAAGGAAAGGAGTTGTTAATGCCTTCTTTGTCACCCACTATGGAAACTGGCACCATAGTGAAATGGTTGAAGAAGGAAGGTGACAAAATTGAACCTGGTGATGCTATTGCGGATATTCAGACTGACAAAGCCATTGTCACAATGGAAGTGGATGACGAGGGTGTATTGGCAAAAATACTTGTAAGTTAAATATTGTTAAATTGTCAGTTTTGTTAAAAAGGATTATGTATAAATTTCATGTAAATAAGAATATGTTTGTTTTAGATATCTGAAGGAACCAAAGATATTAAAGTAGGAACTCTGATAGCTCTCACTGTTGAGGCTGACGAGGATTGGAAAACAGTGGAGATGCCAGACACCTCAGCTGAGACTTCTGCGGCAGCTCCAGCTGCTGCCGAACCTGATGCACCTGCTGCAGCAGCTGAACCACCACCTGGCCAGTATGATCCTTCAGTTAAAATATTTGATTATTAAGTTTTTAAAATAATGCTTCAATAATATTTAAATCCTTTGCTTGGAAAAATTTGTATTTGCAAGGTGTTTCTAAATAATTTGTATAATCCATAGACAGAACATTGCTATGCCTGCTCTCTCACCGACGATGACAACAGGCACGATCGTACAATGGTTGAAGAAGGAAGGTGACGAAATACAACCGGGCGATGCCTTAGCGGATATACAAACAGATAAGGCCGTTATGACTTTTGAGTTGGAAGACGAGGGCGTACTCGCAAAAATTCTTGTGAATATTAAATCACTCATATTAATTTGTTGAATTATATTTTTTCTACTAATTGTGCTATTGTGTTAGCTTCCAGCGGGTTCTCAAGTAGAAGTGGGACAGTTGATAGCGATTATAGTTGAGAAAGGGATGGACTGGAAGAATGTTGTTGTCCCGGCAACGACTAAACCGGCAGCAGCAGCTGCACCTGCGACACCGAGTCCACCCTCTCAACCTGCTCAACCGACGGACGCAAAACCACCACCTAGTGGACAGTGTGTTTTAATTCTTTTATTCATTCACATGGTTAAATTAATTTTGTATTAAAAGTATTTTGTAACAAGTTACTAAAATTAAACACACTTAATATATCTTTCATCAGGGTGTACGGTTTAGCAGTGAAAAGATTGCTGGAAGAATATGGTTTGAGTTCCGGTTCGATCAAGGGCACCGGGCGTACAAATCGCTTATTGAAGAGCGACGTTATTGCGTATATTCAGACGAACAATATCCAAAAAGTCGCTCCTAAAACCGGTAAATATGTTGACATCTAACGTCATTTGCTTGACGTGATGTTTGCTTTACAATATATATATATATATATATATATTTCCGTAGCGCCGCCTCCGGAAAGTGATACGGCACATCCTCCCCGTCCAGAGACGCATGTTCCGAGTGGCAAACCGTCTCCTTACGAAGATATCGAAATATCCAACATACGCGCGGTCATCGCCAAACGACTCGGGGAAGCAAAAGTGCGATATTACGTAATTCTCAGTAGAAAAATATAATTTTGTTATTCTTTTTTAACTGGAAACGATTTTCCAGAGCAATATACCGCATTCGTACGCAGCTATAGATATAAAAATCGACAAGCTGCTCGAGCTCCGCAGCAAACTAAAGACGGAGAATATAAACGTGTCCCTGAATGATTTTATTATTAAGGCCGTAGCTCACGCGCTTCTCGAGTGCCCCGATGTAAATACGTTGTATCAAAAGGGACAAGTAAGTACGGCAGATTCAATTTTTATTGAAAGTAATTTATACACCATCTCTTTGTACAATATGTGAACCGAATTGTCGGCTATTTGATTTGCTAGATTATTCGAGTGCCAAAAGTGGATGTGTCTGTAGCGGTCGCAACGCCAACGGGCCTTATTACTCCAATTGTGTTCGATACTGTCACCAAGAGTCTAACAGACATATCGAAAAACGCTCGAGAATTAGCTGAGAAAGCGAGAAAGGGACAGCTCAAACCGCAAGAGTTTCAAGGAGGAACGTTCACGTGAGTTTTAAAAAGTAGAAGAGACATTGAAAAAGAGGCACGAAAAAGAAATAGTATCGTGTATTTGTTATAAAAAATATTTCTTATCGCAGAATTTCGAATCTGGGAATGTTCAGCATCAAGGAATTTTGCGCCATTATAAATCCTCCTCAAACTGCTGTTCTCGCTGTGGGCGCGGGTCGCGAAGAGCTGGGTAAATTCTTGATCAAAAGTTTATTCATTCCGCGAAAAATATAGATATTCTATATAATAGCGCGATATATTCTGATCGATAACATTTTATTTTACAGACTCTTCGTTAATAAAGATGACAAAAATGACAGTAAAGCTATCGTACGACAGACGGGCAATAGACGAGGATCAAGCAGCTGACTTCTTGGCTGTTGTTAGAGATATGTTGGAAGATCCAGCTTTCTTGGCAGCCGGTAGGATGCAAGCACTGAGGTATAAACGCGATGCGTATTAATTATTTTTAACGAGATTCCGATCATTGTTTATTGCATAAATAGTTCGTTTTCTTATTTGAAATAAGAAAACTTAATATTATTTTCATGTAAACAATGATTAGCGTGCTGTTAAAAAAAAATGTGAACAAAATAGAAGTTTAATATTGACAAACTTTTATAATTGCTACGAACACGAGTGGTCATTAGCAGTCACCTTTCCGTGCCATACAGGCTGCGTTCAAGGAGCGCGCTATTAGCGCTATTGCATTATTCTGTGTTATCTAAACAGCAATAGAGTGATGAAATAGCGCGCTCTCTCTCCGAACGCAGCCATAGAAAAAAAATATCGTTAAATATTGAACAAAAAATTGATGATCTGAAAGCATTTCGAATAATGCCATTCGTTACTTTTGAACATAAACTTAGACCAAAGGAAGTATAATTTTATGTGTCCATACTGCCGGAAAAATACCTAGAACACTTAATAGTATGAATATAGCTTCATATTTATCATGTTAATTTATTAATAACGCAAACACAGTTAAATACTTTTATTTAAATATTGGCCTGTATAATCAACATTGCAATTTTGATAATGTGTCTCAAAACACATTCTTCTTATTTAACTTTAATGAATTAAAAATTAATATTATACAAATTTAAAATTATAACATCACAAATTGTTTCTAAACAACACAGAGAACATTTACATTTTTTGTAAATAATTAGGACGTTTGTATCTTTGTAAGTTCTCTTGCTTTTTGTAAATATCTAAAACTTATTGTTTCTATTAATATACATGTGTACCATATAAAAATGATATATATTTCATTTTCCGAACGTCAAGGTTGTAGAATATAAATTGTGTTTGTACCGCAACACAATATTACACGTATTAAAAGATAGAAATTATTTCCATTCATGGTATTTAGAAAACTGAGATATAAGTTTAATTAAAAAAAACACAACACTGTTCTTGTACATAATAGGAAACTTTCAATAAGATTATTGAATGGGGTGATGTAATTCACGAATACATCTGTACAAATAAAATATTTATTGCCTATACAACATACGTAATGTTTTTACTGTTGTGCCAATAAAATGCAAAGTAGAACTATGTTACAGTTTTTTGAAATCACTTTAATTTTTCTTTGATTATCGAAGAAAAATTGCACAATATCTTTTTTTTTTGAACGCACAAATCGGCACATATGTCATACAAAATGATTTGATTGTTGCTGATCTCGTATTTTTACCAAAATCCTTTTTTTTTTTTTTTTTTTTTTGTGATCGTTGATAGCAATATTTTTGTCAGTCATTATATAGTTAGAGACATACCTATTTAGTCGATAAGGCACATGAATGTTAGATTATTTTATAACGTGTTACTGGAATTTTATGTTTTCGTTAATTTTACTTTTTTATTATTTTTACGTAGAACTAAACACATCTTACAAAAATCGATAAAATGGAAATAACACAATAGTTATTTATTTTTTTCTTTTTTTATTCAAAAATCGCGCGCAAATAATCGCAATACTGTTTGGATTCATACTGCATGCGCATTTAAACACATAACGCTATCTTGTTATCTGTATTTACACTGTTTGTATAGACAGATAACAATTGTTTATATTACTGTTGCATTTTAATATTCTCGATACACGATAATGGTATAATATAACATATTCGACACACAAATAGAGCACATTAAAGTATAGAGCACATTAAAGTATAGAAAATAATAGAGTATAACTTAACTTTCACTTATCACAGTCGTGATTATGACTTGATGTTACTGTTTATAAAATCATCTTAAAATATCTAGAAATATTCATCCTTTAGAATAATGCAATCATATCGTGTGTATATATGTATTTCTATTCTTTATATTATAAACATGATTGAATGTCTATTTACATTATTTTTGTATATAAAATAACTATATGAATATACATATGATACTTTTCTTTCTTTGAGCAATGTCACGCTCTCTTACAAAAGTTTTCTCAAAAAGATGTATATTTTATCAAAGTAGAAGCGTGTAAAATTTTTTTTCTACAAAACTATATATTTAGATACAAATGTGTTTATATGTGCGCGCGCGTTTTAATAATTTTACAAAACTGTATTTTCTCATGTTTTTCATTGTCTTAAAAATTATTCTTAATAATATTGCACAGACGGTTTATTTTGTCGTAAATTAGAAAAAATCTAAACAAGCACATTTACAAATGATACTTGTTTTGGATGTAATTTAATAACAATTGATATTAATTAAGTAGCACAAGTGATGAAATGACTGTATCAAGTGCTATGTGTGTTTACATTGTTACATCGCATTATTAATCCACTAGTAAAAGACAATAAAACTTATCTCTCGGGCAGTCAGGGAAACTTAAAACAAAATACAATCAGACACAACACAATACAATATGAGAAATACTTCTTTTGTAGCCTTTCAGCTTACGAAATACTTTTTTCAGAACATGCAGCAACGAAACAATACAGACATTATTCGGAATTTGTAAGAAATCTACTGGAACGCCTTTTGAAGAATTCTCTGCGCTGCACGAATCAACGGCGTGAGTGTCGTTAGTTCCGCGCAATTTTCTAGGAACGGATGAGACAGTAATTCCTCGGCTGTCGCTCTCTCGTCGACCTCCACAGTGAGGCATCGCTCGAGAAAATTTTGGAACGTAGGACTGAGGCTGTCCCATCTAGGAATGGAAGGTTTGCCAATTGCGGCGATTAAGTATAGAGCTCTCAGTGGAGTCTCCTTCATGTAAGGCGGCTCCCCTTCGATCATCTCGATAGCCATCACTCCCAACGACCAGATGTCCACTTTCTTGCCGTACTGCTTCCTCGTTACCACCTCTGGTGCCATCCAGTACGGAGTGCCGACCATGGTCTGACGTTTCTCATCACCGTCGATGTTGGCACAAAAACCAAAGTCTGTGACCTTCACCGCACCGTTCATCCCTAACAACACATTGTCCGACTTAATGTCTCTGTGGATAATGCCTCTGCTGTGCAGGAAGTTTATTGCTTTCAAGACCTCTCTGCAAACAGCCGCGATCTGTACTTCCTTCATCACGGTCTCGGTGACCACGTCTGTGAGCGGTCCGCCCTCGAGCAGCTCCATTACGACCCAGAGATGCTCGTCTACGAGGTAAGCGTCGAGAAAATTCACCAGGTTCGGATGTTGAAACTTCTTGAGGACTTTGATCTCTGTTAATATCAGTTCCTTCTTTGGCTGCTTTGACAGATCAATGTCCTTTATGGCTACTTTCTGACTATACTGGAGATCGGTAGCGATGAACACAATTCCTGAAGCACCTGCGCCCACTTCCTTGGTCTTCTCGAAGCGCAGATGAGGATCACCTCGTTGACAAATGGTTCTGAGTTCCTCGTACACTTGTTCATCATTGAGTCTTCCGCTAGTACACTCGGTCTTTCGTCGCAGGATCGGACTCTCTTCGAATCTGTTCAACGTCACGTCCTCCTCCGTGTCCGGTGACGGGGTTTCGTAATCCTGATACTCGCTCAAGTTCAGATCCTCCAGTATCTCGGTGAGAGTCTTCTCCACTCGGTCGTTGCATTTGCGCGGTGCCGGTTTCGGGGGCGGTTTGGGTGACTTCTTCGGAGGAAGCTCGGGTAACCTCTGCACCTGATGGATGTCTGTCGAATTTCGAGCAGTGAGAACGTCGTCGTCGGAGCTAACCGAACGATACTTCTTTGTTGTCAGGATGTTATCGATCTCCTGCGATTCTTCCTCGATCAAATCCTGCGTGACAAACGGCTTGAAGACTTCCTGGTCCTGTGGTTTCCGTTTGATCGAGTAATTGTAAAATTTGATCGCGTGGAGCGCGGCGTCCGGATGCTCGTTCTGCTCCGACTTGGAGATTTGCGTGTTGAGCAGACGCATCCACGAGTCCGGCAGACCCTCCAGCTGGCCGGTCTCGGCGTTCTTGCTCACGTGGAACTGATGCGAGACGTTGGTCGGCAGCCCGATTTCCGTGGCCACATTGTCGACTGGAGGGCCACTCCTCTTCTTCGAGAAGAACTTGGTTAAGTTGAGACTCATTGTCGCGCGCAACCCACGGCGCTTCCGCGGCGTTCGCTCTCTCCTCGTTCTCTTCTTTTTACGTGTCACTCACTCGCACTCGTGATTTTCGAAAATACATAAAAAAAAAACGGAGAAAAAAATTTTTAGACTGAACTTTAAATTGCGACACTCATGATAACGTGACGCGTGTTATCACACCCGTCACTTGCGATCATATCGTCGCCTAGAATTCACATCCGATTAACACGCCGACAGTGGACGTGACAGTGCTACCAGCTTGTTTGTGTCACTAGACACATGGCGATTCTAGTCATCATCGCGAGGAATCGATTATTTACGCGCGCGACACGCGCTAAGCGGGTTCGATTATTTGAATATAGCGTTGAGAGTGGAAGAAGTACGAATACATCAGTATATTTCTCGCGATCAACATTAGAAATTAGTTTGTCGATTTAAGAATTGAGTATCGATAAAAAATGTATAAAATATCTTATTTTTATCGATACTTCCCGGAGAGAAAACTTTTATAATGATATTTAAAAAAGTAAATATTGGTCAACGAAAAGTCATGATTTTGCTGGACTCTGCGAATGCTGCGAATTCACACATGTGTAAATGTGTACACAATTGCGTCTACTGATATCGACACATGTTTTTAATTACGCGAATAAGATTTATTTTATTATCAATTTTTATTACAAACCGTGTTTCGGTTTTTGTTTCTGTTTCTCGAATATCAGTCAAAACATGCTAATGGTTGTTTAAAAAAACATTTATTCTCCGAGCAACGATGTTTACTTCATGTGTTTTTGGTTTTACATAATTATGCATCGTGACGTCAAAAATTGAAACAAAGTAAAAACCGAGCTCTTGTATTTCGCATTATCTTGCCGAATACTTGCAATTAAAAAATTACATAAATAAGGGAGTAAATACTTGTTTATGAAAAATACATTTTTGAAAAATTTTATCGAATTTTTCTGCACATTTCTTATTGTATTCTCAGTATAAAGTACATTTCACGTATGGAGTTTTACAATTTCATTATCGCTCGCATTTCTATTACGTTCTATAACTATAATATATATATAATATATATATTTCTATTACGTTCTATAACTTTAAATTCATCGTAAAAGTACGACGGCCATTCGAAAGAAATTTTGTGGAAGTTGTGCGATTCAATGGAAAATTCGCTCACAATTAACGGTCACAAATATGGAATATATCATAGTATATCATATGAAATCGATTCTTATTTCTTATTTCTTACCTCCTATTCCTATACCTTTGATCTATGTTAATTGGAACGAACTTGACATTGTGTAACGTTTGCGCGAATCATTGACGTATGCACGTGTTTCTTTTCCGCGCGCGTTCATCAAAATCGCCGATCGATATTACAAAGATGAGGCACGGGAACGCGTCACACAGATTATTACCTCTGTCTCGGGACTTACGTGCGAAGTTAAGCAAATGATGATCGAACGAAGAGTTTTTGAATTAATTTTCAAATAAAAGCGTAATTGCGACGTTGTATTATGCGAACGAAGAGAGGAAGATTTTCTTTCACACGGATATGTATAATTGCACGCGACATCGCAAATGAATATGTAACTTTCGGCGCTTTGGTAACTCAACGCGTGACTGTGTAAAAATTCGCTTTAAATCAATTCACACGGTCGACTTTTTCATGGTCATATTAAAACGCAAAGGTCGGAGACCATCACGCGTTTCCACAACGATGTTAACGTCTAATATCTATGAGAGATGTTAACGTCTAATATCTATGAGAGATGGTGAAAAGAAAAAAATGCGTAATTTCTCAGATAACGTCAGATGTTTTGTTAGTGTTTGGCCGTCAACGTTCGGTCTAACTTACACAAACGACACAATCGGATATAAATATATTTGTTTTCGTGCGATAAGAATTTTAAAGAGTTCATTCACGCGAGCTACTACAGTTCCTGTTTCCTCTCTCGAGAAGTTTCCTTAATATATCTTTTTTTTTCTTATCGCTGGTTTGTAATCTGTTATAAAATTTTCCGTCATGTTTTCCAGTACATTCTGTCTTCTGAGATAAAGAAATCCAAATGCGCGTTTTCGTTATTCGACACTATGAATAACGCGTTTATCTCCGAAACTGTTTTCATTTAAGAAAATTATATACAGCTCTTTTACTCAAGAGAACATATTCGAAAATGAAAAATTTGACTTGTCAACGACTTTCTTCTCTTGTTGTTGCATCAATTACGCGCCATTGTCCGTATAACGAAAAAAGTGAATTTATTTACCTAGAATTCAAATTAATTACGCATTCTACGCGTAATTAATGCTCGTATGACATTTACGTCCCTGATAGTAAAACATTTACAAAATTATGTGATGAAATCTTGCACTACAATTGTAATTTGGAATTATACAAATATATCTTAAGAAATAGATGTAAAAACATTGATCTTTTATAAAATATTTGTAGTTGTTTGCAAAATTACTTTCCAAATACTATTTCGGCAAAAGAATAACGATATCATCTTAGCAGTATATTTGCAAAATTAATTTCAAAAAGAAATTGTCCAATAATTAAGAAAAAAATTTCAGCTGTGATGTTTATAAAATATGTAGACATATAATTGCATATGAAGAAATCAACTTAATTCATGTATATGTATACTTATGGAAATGCATAACGATTCTTTCGTAATTTTTGACAAATATTGTTTACAAAATTTCATTTCGACAAAACTGTTGCGTTATGGCGAATCATCTTAGTGCAATCATTGCAAAATCGTCGTTATTCATGATGTCATTTTTGCGCAATATTTTCACAATTTGCCTATTAGGGGTTTAAACCTCATGTTTTTGAATAAATGCAACGCAAAATTACTATCACGGCTGCACACACACACATACACACACACACACACTTACACACTTTGACACATTCTACGCAGCAGAATTTTGTTCCAATGAATTCTTTTCTGCTTAAAATATCGGTATCTTAACTCACCGCGTGACTGTAATTATCTGCTTACAAGTGGTGATGCACCATGCCATTGCACCATTTCTTTGATATTAAATTAGTTAGAAAAATGACTTGTCATTCTTATCTCGTTTCGGTTTTTTTTAATTTATAAATATATATATATATATATAATACTCTTATTTCTTAAAGTCTTTTGTATTAATAGCATTCAGCGTATAACTTATTGAAAGAGAACCGCGCGTATCCGGCAGCGTGCGCGCGGAGATGACGCGTCGCAACAGAGGGTTCCGACAACCCTCATCGAGTTTTCCTCATCATTCGAATTAAACGTCATCAATTGCAATACATCGTGGTCGCTTTACCTCGCCGACCTCATGTCAAATAAGAAAAAGAGAACATGCGCGTCACACGCCTCTGATAAATATTCAACGTGTGGTGTAACTTTCGAGAGAATCGCTCTCATTTATTATGGAACAACAACGCGCGTGATGTTTCTTCTCTTATCGAGCGAAGAGGGGCGCGTGTGTGCGGAATTATCGCGTGTTTTTAACGTCCGAGACGAGAGCTTCGTGACGCAAGTTTTCCTCCCTTTTCGTGCGATCGGCGGCAACGCGTCGTCGTGCAACGTATGAAGCACCACTACATTTCTCTCTTATGTAAAATCGTCAAGTCGTTCCCACTATCATTTTATCATTGCCAAAGGCGAACATAAGTGGAGGGATTCTTGTGTCGTTGTTGTTGCTGGCTCCTTCTTTTCTTCTCTGCCTATCTCGTTCTTTCTTTCCTCCATCTATCTCTCCTTTTCTATCCCTCCACTATCCTATGAACGTTTTACTGATAAATAAAATATTAATCGACGCTCAAACCGAGTGCGCCGTATTCGTGTTTCAACGACCAACCTAACACGTGTGAATTAAGAAAAAAAAAAACGAAAAACGCGGTCTTATCCAAACGCATGAATGCTGAGTAACGTCTTCCAATTTGGCGAAAATAAAGCGAGGGAAGCTTCATTTTTCTGGTTTCCAAATAGCTTTTTTTTTTATTATAATTCTTGCACTGACTGTCACCGATAGTTATTGAGTATCAGAGTTGTTCTTGGTGCTGTGTCAGACTCGGCGAATATATTTCCGTTTAACCGGAAACCTTTGAGGGGCGTGTTTTTTGAAAAAAAAAACGCGCACCAAAGACACCGAAGTCCACGTAGAATGATCGGTACGAATATTCCTTGTTAAAATTGTTCACGATCAGCAGCCGTTCGTTTCAACATGGTTCTGCGGCGCAAGGTAAGCAATAATATCGTTCTCTTGACTGTATCTGTTCTTAAAATCAATTGTAAAATTCAATTCAAGCGTCTCGCGAGCCGCATCGCGTTCCAGCGAAGAAAAAGATTCGCCGGAGTCTTCGAAATGTAAAATGGAAAATGCCACAAATTGTTTATACATTGATTTAATATTGTTTTAAGTTCATAAGAGGTCACGTAATTAGATGCCATTAGATCATCTTGTTTTTCATAACTGAGATAAGCACATCATCATCACTTTCTACGGTTACAAGTTCAAAAAAAAAAAAAAAAAGAAAGAAATCTAGAAAAAAAAAAAAATGAAATTTTTTTTTGAGAAAAGTTCTCCGCGCGCACTCTTCCCAAGAAAAAATGGAAAATCATGTGATGATACAGGATTATATGTGGATTTCGGATGTAATTTTGTATGATCGTATAAAACTTTACTAACTACTAGCATGACTACTGACACATGTACTTTTTAATACAAAAACTTTTAAAACTTATAAAAGTTCAATTAAAATAAATATAAATTTAGCTAAATTTAATCCAATGGTATACAACATTTATGTACATATATGCACAATTGGATTGCAATAAGAGAAAGCTGCGTTTCGTTTCACACATATGCGCGCATTTATCTATACTATACGTGACGTGTATTATAGATAAATGCGCGCAATACGTGAAACAGAACGCAGCCAAAAAGTCTGAAGTGGAGTCTCTTCTCTTCGAGATTTCGAACAGAGAGAGAGATTAAAAAACACAGGATCTAACAAATTTCTTTCTTCTGACAAAGTTTTATAATTTGCAATCTAAAAACTGCTATAATTTGTATACAAAAAATACTATCTAAACCTGCTATAATTTGTATACAAAAAATACTATTTTTAATTATCTTGTTATATATCAAATTTTTTGTTTTGAACGACAAGAAATTTATATTGTACTAAATTGTATATATATATATTAACATAATTAAAGATATGCAAATAATAATAATATGCTAAATGCAAGGTTGGGTAAGTTAAATTTTTTTTTTATTTAAGTTAAGTTACAGTTAAAGGTCTTAAAAATTTTATTTAGTTAAGATATAAGTTAATCCATAATGAAATTAATTGATTAAAAGTTAAGTTAATAAAAAAAAATAATTAACA